ACAAATATCGAAATAATAAAATAATACTAAGATAAAATAATAAACTAATAAAATAAAACTGTTCTATAACAGTACTAAATACTTACTGTAGTCTTAAAACTAATTTATCCTCAAAGCATTATTGCTAAAGCTTTTCATACTCACAATCTAGCTAATCTAGACTTCAGTAACTTACGCCAAGTTTAGAATAAGTACTTGTAAGCCGAAGCCACTACTATTACCTACTTCTGCTTTTGTAGAATTTACTCAAACCTCAGCACCTACTTTACGGACTCTCTACCATTGTATTAATTCCCAAACTCTCAATCCAGATAGCCTGAAAAGGCAAACCTCTTCCTTAGTATACACCGGCAACCTGGTTGAGATGATGCCTTGTTGAACATTTTGAGTTTCAGTTCTTTAGTTGATAATCCTTTATATAGCCCTGTTGAAAATCTTCATTACTTTTCTATTTAGAACTTGCCAAGCAAGCTTTTATATATCTCAGCCTTCAAATTTATTTGGCTGTTTCACTCGGGTTTTATATAACTCATACATCACATTAAATATTCTACAGCCTTCTAGTATAAGCTGATATGACCAAAGCTACAGATCTGATGATTTATTAGATTACACAGTCTGCTGTAATACATTCTGTAAAATTTGAATTTTGTTGCTAGTAGGATTTGAACTCTTATCTAGCTACTTGAGGATGTGACAACTTATCAACTTCACTAAGTTGCTATACTCTGAAAATCAATTTTTATATTATAAATTTTATAATAAATCATAAAAATTGCAAAATTTAAAAAGTTATACTTCAAAGAGTGTAGTGACTTAATGAAGTGATTAAGTTGTTTCATCTTTAAGCAGCATGTTGACAGGTGGGGTTTGAAATCTACCAATAGCAAAATTTAAATATTTTGCTTATATGATGGCTACTGACTTTTGACAATTATTTGGAATAGGATCTTTTAACTTTGGTGGTACTAACAAGATTGGAAGATTATAATTATTATGCAACGCATAAGTTATATGAAGATATACAAAGCCAGTATCAGATGGTACAAACCTAAAATTAGTTTTCATGATCATATTAATCCAAGAAACTGGAAAAATAGATGCCTGCTTAGAAATCTGAGTAGAGAAGTAATGCAAACTTTCGATAGTAGCTACTGAAATAAGCTTCATCTAAGCCTAAATAACTAAATATGACAAAAGTACTTGACAAGTTGCTCCACCAACCAGGCTGCTAATATTAGCAGATATCACAGAAATAGTGTCTCTTCTAGGTCATCTGGATTGGTAGTCTGGAGAAATTGGCTAGGAAGTACTAAAAGAAAAGGTACCAGGTTGTTTTGAAGGGAAGGTACCAGAGTTTGGATGAACTCTATAAGGGCTAAATAGATAATGATAGTGGCTTCAGCTCGCAAGTACTTGTTTTTAGACTCGGTAAAGATACTAAAGTTTGGATAAACTCTACAAAGGCTGAATAGATAATGATAATGGCTTTAGCTCACAAATGCTTGTTTTTAGACTTGGTGTAAGTTATTAAAGTAGACTAAGTAATATGGTAATAATAAGTACTGAACTGCTCTAGCAGGTGATGACTTTGAGGATGAATCAATTAACTATACTAGTAATCCTATAGATAACTCATAATGATCTTGGAACTTGAACTAACTAATATATTACATGTTCTGGATGAGATTAGATGGATTGGCATAAGAAACTCAGATCAGAAGGTTTAATTGGGTAATCTAAATAATAGTAGGTTATAGCCGGAGATGTATATTTTGACTGTCCAATGCTTTTTGATACTGTCCAATGTTCAAATGTCCAAGTATCCAAAAGTGTTCAGAGTATACTTAAGCTTTAATAATTAATAAATTTGTTTAAAATATATATAACTATATATTTTTTTAGATGCTAAACATATTTTACTTAGAAAGTAATATAGATTATTTTAATAAAATTTTGAGTAATTTTAATTTATTTAATTGTCCAAAATTGTCCAAAGTGTCCAAACTCACTGTCCACAACTGTCCTGTGACAATACTGGTTATAGGTATAACATCTAGTGTAGAACCTAGTAATAGGCAGACTATTTAAATTAGGCGCTCAAAAGGTACAGATATGGCTAAAAAGTACTTTCATCAGAATGTATTTGTCTGAATGCTTCCATGAAAAAAGCACCACTTGATTCTACAATCTAATAAAAGCAAAAAGCCAAAAAAACTAATCTTAACTATAAAAAAAAAAAAAAAGTTATACTGCAAAATTTTATTAATACAACTACTTTTGTGTTTTAAGAAAAAAATGATTTTAATCTTATTTTAAATTAATTAATACAAAAAAATTAATTTTAATAAATTTGTCAGTTTTTTCTTTTTTGTAACACCTAGCTCATATTATCTTTAAAGCTATTGTATATTCTTTTTACCAATTAGAATTGTATAGTTGTTAATTAATTGGTCTGTATGCTGTTCACTGTATTTAGTTTTGACTTTTGTCATTTATCAAGAATAGTTTTGTCTAACAACAGTATACTTGTATCTTCATATACAGTACATTTAACCGTTTGCCTCTTTTATAACTGCAAATCACATAATCCTCTTAAAGTATAACTGCAATAAACCCTATATCTTACTTAAGCATGATATTTGTTATCAACCATCTAACATATCCGTCGTTAAAAGTAAATGAGGTAGTTTTGGGTGTAGCACTACTTATCCAAACAAAATCGATGAAAAAAAATTTTTTATATTAATTCTGTGGATTAATAGAATTAAAATAAAAGATTTTGAATAGGCAGTTACTAAGATATTTTCACTAAAGTCTGGAATATATGTATTTTCGCCATGGCTTAGGCTACGTGCTGGTTTGAATCTACCCAGAACAAGTCTATACACGACCATTCTCGTGTAATTGCCGAAAATTAAGATAATTATGTAACACAAATCCCAAACTCTAACAATAAAACATTTATTATATAATCTTTTTTGGCTGCATGTATCACCAGCATAAATGAGTATATCCATTTTAGTTTTATTTGTTTGTACTCTAAACAATTGCAAGTTATCGTTATTGACCAATCAGAAAAAGTTAGCCTATATTGCCAGGGATGCAACGCGATAAACCACGTATCGTATACGTATGACTATGACTATGACTTGGATTAGCTTGGAAATTTTAAGTGAAATTTGATTGGTTTCTATCGCTATATAATAGTAAATGCGTCTTTTAATAACAGGATGCCAAATTCATTATTTCAAAAAGGACCTTTTTTTTTTTTTTTTTTTTTACTTCCATATAACAGTATAATACACATTCCCTATTTTTAATCTCGAAAAAATGGCTGACAAACAATCTAGCCGCGGAATGGTCGCTTTTTCAGTTACCTTCTACATCACCACAGCGCTGGTAATGGTCTTCGTGAATAAGGTAGGTAGCATATTGTATTTTAAGATCTTTCTAAGATCTTTTCAATTCAATCAATTCTTATGTAACCTTATTTGTTTGTTTAGTGGGTATTGAATAGCGTCGATTTACCTTTTTCTTTACTTTGGTTCCAAGTTACTTTTGCGGTAATTCTTTTACATATCTCGGCAGCTTTTGGTCTCTTTAAACTACCGACAATACAAAAGGATATATGCGTTGGTCTATGGCCACTTGTCCTCATCAATGTTTTGGGTTTAAGTTTTAACACAGTGTGTCTACAATATGTAGATGCTAGTTTCTATCAGGTTCGTTATTTTATTTACATTGCCAAAAAAAAAAAGAAAAAAAAAGATATGTATTTTATATTCACATTTTTCTATGCATTTATAAAGGTCGCTCGTGCATTGGTGCTTCCATTTACAGTTTTATTTTCTTTCATGTTTCTTCATCAAAAATCATCATTGAGGATTCTTTTAGCATGCTTTATTGTCTGTACGGGATTCTTTGTTGGTGTAACTTCGGAGCGTTTAACACTCTCTATGCTTGGAGTCTTGTTTGGAATATGTTCTTCTGTTTCTACGGCTTTACATGCTATCGTTATAAAAAAGAGTTTAGATGTTGTTAAAGGCGATACTATGGAATTGGTTTATTATAACAATCTTTTGAGTGCTATCGCATTTACTCCTGTAATCTTACTAGCAGGAGAACAAAAAGATGTTTTCGCGTTATTTTTTGGCTCGGATCCTACCGCTTTATCTGATAGTAAAGTTAGTTCTTCCGCTAGGACTTTTCTTGTCGGTATTGTCGTTACGGTATATATAATATGATTATTATTATTTTCATTAATTGCACGATATATTTTCATGGTTTTAATTTTTATTTGATGTTTTTAAAGGGATTCTTTGGCTTTTTGATTAATGTCGCTGGATTTCTCCAAATCAAAGTCACTTCGCCTGTAACACACATGATTTCATCCGCATTTCGTGGTGTTGTTCAGACCATTCTTGGTGCACTTTTGTTTGGAGAAATTTTGACTAGTGGTCGTGTTGCTGGCATATTTCTAATTCTCTCAGGAAGTTGTTTATACACATGGATCAAGGATCGAGAAAGCAAAAAAATGAGGGAAATAGATGCTTCTGAAGTATTAGAAAAAGGAGAATTGATAAACCATGATAATCTCGAGGGCGAAAATAATGAGAAAGAAAATGTGTAATTTAATCAAAGCATACATTTGTAAAACTTTTTAAAACTTTACACTTAAAATAATTTTAATACAATAACTCTACTTAAAAAAATTTTTTATAGACAAAAAACTGATATTATTTAATTAATGACAAAGATTATTATAATATGGAACGTAAATTTTGATTTGAAATAATACATAATTGTTTAGAACTATAGTTGTCTGCCGTAATTGTTTTTAACAAGGTTGTAATATTGCAACCGTTTGCATTCTATATGTTGTAAATAGCTGAAATCAATTACGGCAGGCAATTCTATTTTGAACGTGTAGGTAAATAAAATTTTAAGTCAAAACTTCAAATCATTTAATAAACAAAAAAAAAAAAAACAGATTTATATAAAATAAAGTAGTTATAGGGCAAGGAACATTTACAAATTTCATTTTCTTCGTCAAAAATTTTTTTAAATTAATAGAGCATTAAATTTACATTTTCATTAAACGTTTCTTATAAAAAAGAAAAAAAAATATTATAAAAAGTGGGTTTAAAACCTTTTATTTGACTGATTTCTATACATTCTATACACCAACACTAAAACACCAAGAAAAGCAGTAGTAGCGATGAGCTTGAGAATGAACAACAATCCAAACCAGCTTGAAGACGTAGTTTCTTGTCGCGTAATTGGCTGATTAAAAAGAGTTAGTTATTTGTGGAAAACACAAAGATAACAGTTATAAACAATATTACCTTTTGAACTCGCGGAGGGACAGAAATCATGTTATTTGTTGTAATACTAACAATATCATGGTTATCTACAAATTTTCAAATATAATGCCTAATTAAAAGGATGAAAAATGTAATAAAAAAAGGCATTGTAATCAAAAATACACATACCGCTAACATCACCAGTCAATGCGCTGAAACCAAGATAGGAAACAGTAGGGATCGTTATATTATTAATAGTAAAGCATGGCTCCCACTGGTCCCATTCCTTATATTGTAATTTGACCTAGTTTAACATGAATTGAAATTTAGATATTTCATGAAGTAATGAATGTGAAATAAAATTGTAATAAGGAAATATGTATTTTACCTCAAGATATGTATTTTTGTAATATGTGATGCGCGCTTTCGTTGCAACCGATTTACCACGTATATCAGCCTAAAATAAAAATACATATTTAATCTTGCTTAATCAACGATAGTAAATTAATCTATCATATTACCTCACATCCGGCAATTTCATTAGATTTACCATCATTTGCATTATCATATTCAGTATGACCGTCACCCAACATTGCCATTACATAGGGAAATGAATGCTAACGATAGCTAAGATAGTAAGAAAGAGTACAAATACGTGAGGAAAAGACAACATGTTCCATGCACCATATTTGTACTTACTGACTGTCTAGAGTTAGCATACGTGTCAAAGAATATGCCTAATCCTTCGAATTTGTCAATGAATCCAAATACAGGCCCGGGCTTTGCACGGTCCGTGGTAAACCATACGGCCATTCCATCACCATACAAGTTAGGATTATGCCCGTCAATCTTGAACTCAAATTCAACCTGCCAGTTCGTAGCTGTCAAGGGCTAGTAGTAAATGTAAACATTCAATATGAGTATTCAATAGATTAATTCGTGTCAATTTGAAAACTTGAATAAAATAAAATAGTCCGCTAAATAGCTCACAAAAAAAAAGTAATAACTCGTACCAATCTACTCCAAAGCCAGCCAGTTTGAGATTGTCGATCGTGTGTCAATCTAATATACTTGTTAGTGTTAATTACTGTGTCAGCACCAAAGTCGAACCAACGATTTTGAAGATCTTGGTCTAAAGTTGGATTGAATAACATTTTGATTAGCTTGGTTGCTGATGTAAACTTAAAAGCGAAAATACTTTATTTTCTCACCAATATACGGCATATAAAGAGAGTGGGTGCGTAGTGGAATAACGCTTTCTCCGATTGGCTCGACACTAGTATTTGCTTTAACAACTATAAAAATAGTGCAAATGGCAAGACCCCAAAGGGCCAGGTCTTTAAGTAAAGCAGCCATCTTGGTGAAAGTAAAAAGAATTTTTTCTACCGCTACAATTTGTTATATATTGCTAAATTCAGTGGCTGATAACTTGTAGTGCAACACTAGCCAATTTATAATTTTCCATAACGATAATCATGTCAATTTCTTATTTTATTTGAAACTCGCACAATGTCAAGCGGTGAACAACAATTTCGCGAATCACTGCGTTCTTTTCGTTGGGCTTCTAGCTCTAACAACGCTAATATTTCCACTAGTAAGCCTACATCATTTTCTCAATTTGCTGAAAACACATCAAATTTTTTTGGAAGCATTGGCAATAGGGTGCAGGGATATCTACCCTTGACAAACAACAATGAAGAAGACGACTGTTTCACACTAACCAGATGGCAGGTTAGTTCAATTAGTATTAATTAATCGTCTTTACTTTTACGTTGCTAACTATTTATTACATCTTTACAGCGACTTGCTGGTTTCGGAATATTATTTGCTTCCGGAGCACTTTGCTTTCTTATTGTAAGACATTTTTCCACCCTGTGATCCTTAATGTATGGTATAAACTACTATGTATTCATTTCCAATTATTGAATAGGCTTTCGTGTCCTTGCCACTTTTACCCATAAACCCGCGAAAATTTGCGGTTACCTACACGATGGGCAGTCTTTTAATTATAACAAGGTTTACTATATTTAAAGTTTTTAAGTTTATTCAATATATTAATGGATATTAACTTTAAATATTTGTCTTTATAGTTTTGCTTTACTTCATGGTCCACTAGCACACCTTCGACATATCTTTTCTCAAGAACGTTTGCCTTTCACTGTCGCTTACCTTGGCTCGATGGCCGCGACTCTATATTTTGCGATTGGGGTAAAGTAGTACTCTCCTTAATTTATTCAGTTTATTATAGTGTACTAATTAATACTTTTAAATCTGGTTTGATCCTTGCCATTTAAAGTTACGAAGTACTATTCTCACCATTATATTTAGCATCATTCAAGTAATTGCTCTCATATGGTAAGCTGATGAGATCTGTCAAATTAGCAACATTTAAGTTTAAAAAAAAAAAATAACAAAAATATTTTCATAGGTATACTATTTCATATTTGCCCGGGGGAACTAGTACTTTACAGTTTGGTTCCCGTATGTTTGCTAGGCAAGCCTCTGACATGTTTTCTGTTTGAAATATGAATATTGCTAAGTGACCTACGGAATTCAACCTTGCACACATTTTATGCGACACATGAACATTTTATTAATAACTTATACTATATATTAAGATGTTGCAGATATGGTGAACAAATTATATTGTATAATATTATTCTATATATTATTTTAATTTCAAATTTGATTACAAATTGCTTTAGGGCGTCGGGTTTTTTAGATGTAGTATTGAAAAAAAAACATTAAAATAGACGCAACGTTATTCTTAATCTGATATTAAGAACAAAGTTAGCTTTAGCAAATGTCTTAAAATGAATATAATTGGGAATTATCACAACCGTTTTCTTTTTCCGAGCAGCATTGAAATTAATATAACGAATCAATATTTTTGAATGTCAATGTTTATTCGAAATCATTATTTTAATTGCTATTTTGCTTTTTAAACTTTATATTTTTTTATATAAGTTGTATATATAAATTATTTTAAATATTTGAATAAATTTATATTACGTACGTAAAAATACTGTAAATATAAATATATAAGGCAATTAATAAAATACGTATTAATATTTTATATATTATAACTAAAATCTAGAAACAACTTTAAGTTTTTTTATCAACAACTTGTTGAATATTTAAAAAAAGGATTTTGTTAAATATAGCAGGTTGCTATATCGCCGGTTAATATAGGATCTTGTTTAACAATAATAAAGCAAACAATTAAAAAAAATAAAAATTTTACTATATAAACTAAATTTTGGGTTTTTAATTGAAAGTTTTTAGCATATAATTTTGCATATAATCACGTCTAACCCTAACTCTAATACTAATTTTGTTTAATTAATAATAATTCTTTTTTTTATTTTTAATTCGGCGTTGCTGGTTTCCCAGTTATTCTGCCTTTGTTTATTGAGATCCAGTTATCTAACAAATTACAAGAATTTCTTTTCTAACTATACTAATCTATGAAAACAAATAGTTCACCCAGGCGGACACCCAGATGTGACCTTGCCTAGTAGCTCTTGGCTTCCCTCCGGATCCTTAACTTACTAAGAACTTGAATCCAACGGTCACTGGCTGGTGGCTATAAACCTGTTAGCTATTATACTAACTGCCTGAACCTAGTCTAATTATAAAAAAAAAATTATAGTTAATATTTTAAAAGCATTTATTTTTGATATATTCTGTACTCTAGTATACCTTTTAATATCTTAGAGTAAGATTTGTTGTATAATTAATAAAAAATATTTTTATATAATTTTACTTTAACTTTAACTTAATTATTTTTTGTATTTATTAGCTATTAGATATATTAAAATATATAGAGGGTGTGGTGACTTAGTGTAGTTGTTAAGTTGTTGCATCCCCAAGCAGCAGGACAAGAGTTTAAATTCCACTGGTGATGAAATTCAAATTTATGAAAATGCATTTGGAAGTTTGTATCCTATTTGGGTTAGCACCTGTAATGGAGTCGCACCAGTATTGTTGTATTGGGAGGCAGTGGAAATACTGTATAATGCATAAGTTGTATAACAGTGAAGCTGCTAGGTAAAACTAGTGGATTGGAATACAGAAGCCTGCTTGGCAAGACCTGAACAGAAAGGTAGCACAGATCTTTGACAGTATTATCTAATGATTCGAAAAGAGGAAACCAAATAGCAGAAAAGAGGAAACCAAATAGAACCAAAGTGTTTGGCAAAGCACTCTACCAACCAGGCCGCCAGATGAGTAACCAAAGAAAAAGGACCTAATCGTGGATACTAGAGGCAGATCACAGCCCTTCCAGACTATTTGAATTAGAAGTTTGGAAACCAAAAGTAGGGTTTAGTTTAAAAAACTGGAAGTATGGGTTGTTAAGTGTGTACTAGAATTTAAGCGAACTTTGCAAGAGCATAGAATCAATAATAGTAGCAGCTTCGGCTCGCAAATATTTGTTTTCAAACTTGGTATAAGTTACTAAAGATCTAGATGATATATATGTGAGACATGGACTGTTTTAGTAGGTTTATCACAAGTAGGGTTGTTAATGGGTTGGGTTGGGTTGGGTTGGGTTAATCAAAACCTCAACCCACTTCAGTAAATTAGACTTACTCCAGTGGTTTACTCCAGGTTGCTCTATAGCTGCTCCAGGTTGCTCCAGGTTGCTCCAAATTTAA